TAATATAATATTTAAAAACTAGATCAAAATATTCTTTAGAAAGAAGAAAAAGTTGAACACAAATAGATGATTAGTTAATTTAAAATATATTTTTTCAGTATAAATTTTAACTTAGTGCAGATTTAAAAAAGTAAATTTTTTTAGGAAAAATGTGCAATTTTAATAATGATTAGTTTATATTTAATATTATTCTCATACAAACAGAATATGTTTAAATTAGCCAAATATAAATATAATGAACATAAAAAAATTAGGAAAAATATGCAATTTTTTTATCTTTTCCTAAATGTATAAAAATGAGACTCTGGTAATTAAGAACTGGCATGTGGCTTACTCATGAGCCTCTTTTTAACACCTAATATGTCACATAGATTTTGATGTGGAAAATATGAAATTAAAAGTTTGGTAAATACTTCTGAATCTTTACATATTAAATTTGAGAGTTAATCTCCTAGAATTGCGATAAGTAACGAATCAACATGGCAACATTTTAACAGATCACCGGCCACCTATTAACGATTGAATGACATGGGAATTTTAATCAAAATATGAGTAGATCCAATTTAAGTTGTATACGGAGTATATGTCTTATGTACAGTGTTGCTATAATTTTTTGGAAAAAATTACTCTGTACCAGAATAAGAATAAACATGGAGAAAAAATTGTAATAAAAATACATTTTTTTCTCCAAAATAGGAGTCACCAAATATTAAGAGATTTCTTAGTTTCAAAAAGAAGATATTTGTAATGTATTTCTACCGAAAGACAAAGTTTGTTCTGTATATTGGTGTTTAAGTATACAAAATTGACAAGAAAAGTCAATTGAGAAGATCAAATCCAAACACAAAGGGAGTATTGTTAAAGAAGTAAGAACAATACATGAAGTTTTATGCAATTGAGTGAGAACTAAAATTCTTTTTTAAAAAAATTAAAAAATCAACTTCTAAAATAATTAAAATAATAGTATAAATTTTTAAAATCTACTTCTAAAATAATAGTTACATTTTTCACATAAAATTTTAAAAAATTATCACATAAAAATAATCACATATATTTTACATACCAAAATTTTTTCACTTGATATGAATTTAGTTTCAAAGAGCAAAACAAATATAGTTACAAGGGTTTTCACAAAGAAAAATTAAAAAAACATTTAAAAATAATCATAGGTATTTCACTTTTGACTTCATTGAAGTCACAACAAGCATTTTTTAAAAAAACACAAAACAATATTTGCATGGGATATATACAACAAAATAATATTTGCAAAAAAGGGAATCACATATTTTTCATTTGAAACTTGAAATTTACTAGCTTAAACATGAGTGGCTAATAGAAGGACACAACACATTAAGATGCCCCTAAATGTACAATTGAGATAAAATTATACTCCCTCCGTCCGGAAATGTTCTTCTCGTGTTGACTTGGCATGCTTATTAAGGAATAGTAAAAAAAATGCACAATTTTCAAGAATGCACATACTATAAACTTTTGAATCTCCTTTTATTATTAAAAAAGTAGATTTGTAATAAAATAGAAGGGTATTATTAATATTTAGCCTTAAAAAGCATACTAAAAAAGGAAATGGGAAGAATATTTTCGGACGGACCAAAAAGAAAAATGGGAAGAATATTTCCGGATGGAGGGAGTAATTATTATAACGGAGACCTAAATTAGCAAAAGGCTAATCCAAAAGGGTCATTTTGAAAAATTACTCTTCATTTAAATGTTGAAAATACCTAAATTTTCTCCATTGAACATTCATTTAATAAACATATACAGAAGACACTGAGTGAATAAATCTCAACTATAAAGTTTTCCATAGATAATTAAAGCTTAAAAACACTGATTTGGAAAATACATTATTCGAAGAGACCATTTCGAGATTACACAAAGAAATTTATAATTTATAATTAGGTGACTAAAAGACTTAAGACTATATTTTTTAAGGAATAATTATACGTGTCATGATTATGTACTTTATTTTTAGACAAATGGATAATATGTCTACTATGAGATTGACTCAATGCATATCTTACATAAAAGTTTTGTTTATGGCAAGATGACTAATTGTGATATGAAATAAAAGTATTTCCATGCAATTTGACTATTTTAAAATATTGAATTTTTAAAATAAACAAATTAAAAAAAGATTTAATAGGACTTTTAAACTTTATCTCGGTAACTTGGTTTACTATTTTTAATTAAAATAATCTTATATTGTAACTTACAATTTACTCAGTACATACTTATATTATTATTGTGTTAAAATTCAAAATGTTTATAAATAAAATTAAGAAATTTTGAATGAGAGAGAACTTACTTCCTACGTTTTCATTTACGCAACCGTACATGGAAACTTCATAAGATGATATTTTATGAGACGGCACAGATTTATGCAAAGAAGATTGTGACAAAGAAGATCAAGGTGTGGAGGGGAGCGTGAGAAGATTTGTGACAATGAAGATTTAGGATAATCAAAAAATTAGGAAAAATT